CAGCACCCCGCGGCTCAAAGGAGAAAGAGAGACAAGAGGGGGGGACTTATGGCTCAGACCAGCTTCAGACGCTTCCCGGGTCAACGGGCCCTCCAACTGGCTGACCGGAGCATCAGCGTGGTGTGGCTTCTGGCCCTTTCTGGCTCGCTCGCGGGCGTCTCTGGCGTCTTTCCGATCGAGGTCGGCAACAACATCCTCCGGCAATTTGCTGAGAGTCGCCATGACGACGGAGCGGCATTTTTCAGAACGTTCCTCCAAATGGGTCACCACTCTCACGCGAGTGTGGAAAAACTGCATACATGCAGGACAATGGTTGATATCAATCAGGTCGCGCGTGCGGCGCCTCACACCATGCACTGAGAAAGCATGGGTGGCCAATTTCTGTCTCGAGTCGCATGTGTACGAACAAGAGTGGCACGAGAAAATACTGTTCACTTCGGCCATGCGCCGGGTTTTCGCCCACGTCCTCACCTCATTAAACGCACGTTCTTGCCTGGCGTCTTTCAACGCCGCTCTGAAGCGTTTCGGATTGGAGCGGATCACTGGAACCCATTCTCGTATGGGCTTGGTTGCGTACTCAGAAAACGAATCAGAACGCGAAGTCAACAAGTCCAAATCAGCAGAAACGGCATGCATCCAAGACCTGCGTACCCCAATGGTGTGGCACAGCGCAACGCACAGAGCACGCGGGGCCTGCAAACACACTCTGCTGAAAAGCCCCACCCGCATGCACAAGATCATAGTCGCAGGTGCGATGAAACACTCATGCTCAGAAATGGATGCGTGAGACGGGCAACGAGGGTCCGTCGAGGCTCCTTTCATCACGGATGAATACACCTGCATCACAGCTGTGTGGACTCTCGTCAGTTCAGCAGTGTGCAACTGGGGCCATGTGCTCGCCTGGTGCAGACCACGCGTGAACACCACCCCTTGACATAAGGCGAGCAGTGTTTCAACAGGAACAGAACTTCGCTGCAGCACTGTGTAGCGCAATTGCTGGAAAACTCCTCTCAACGCGCCGACTTTGGCTGTGATCTCTGGGTGCATCGAATCCGTGGAACAAGTAAGCGTACGAACGTGCTTGTACTGGGCCGTGGCAACCAGCTGGCGCTGCACGCCGCGAGTCTCGAATTGAATGAGGCCCCCGGCATCGCCGAACAGCTGCCGCTGCGCGTCGCCAGAACCAGGGCCAACGAAACGGAATAATGCTTCCGTCTTGCCCCGTTTGAAATTGATGCGTAAACCATACATGGAGAAAACGTCCTCAAAAATGGTGGCGCACGCCTTCATTTTACCCACGATCTCGCAAGCCTGACCAAACAATGGCTGGACGACATCATCCATATAACCGGCTGCGCCAAGTTGCACTGGCTCCGCGGGCCGCCCGTTCGCCGGCTCAACGCCGAACCCGGGGATCAACGGTTCCGCTGGGAGTTCGAACAGCAAACCGGCAGCAGCAAGGCGCAACTCGACAGCGCGGACCACGCGGCTAAAAGCGAGGAGGAACACAAAGTCCCCAAGAGCATTACCAGCAAGACTCCCAGATGTAGTCTGCACGCACCCTGCGACGCCTTCCATAGCGAACCAGGACTGTCTGTGCAGCTTACTCAGCATCGCGAGATAATGCGTCGTGCCTCCGCTCGCGGTCCAATGCTCGTAGGCACAGAGGCCCTCAACGATTTCCGCGGCGTCCTCGGCAGAAAATCCTGCAGCCAACAGTCTGGCGACAAATGCATCCATTGACGCCGGCGGCGCGGGAAAAGCAAGAAGCCTCGCAATGCTAGCAAATGCCGTTTGCAAGTCAACGAACAAAGCACCAAAGGATAGCTTCTTAGCCCTGGCAACGTCCATGCACGCCACCATGTACAGGTGGGCAAACTCCGTTGACCCTCCGTTGAGACCACCTCCAAACTGCAAGTTTGAACTCGTCGCTGCGAGGGCGGGCATCCCACGTGACCGCATGTGGAGGGACAGCCCGACTCGCAAATGGTCACGTCCCTGTAAGACGGGATCTCGGTCATAGCCCCTTTCCCTTTGTATATCTCAAACAGATGCCCCCCTTTCCACTGCAAAGGCGGCTTCAGAGAAACAACTGACTTAAAGACGAGCGGGTGGAACAACCGGGCAGTCTCAAGAGGCGCAGCCTTGAACAGTTCGGACCCATTGCAATCTTCAGATATTCCAGCCATGGGCCTCATGTGTGCAAAAATGCAAGCAACCTCCGAAATGCTCGGGGCGAGGCCGAAGTCAATTGCGTCAACTGCGCGATCTTCAACGACGAGGTTGTCAATCCGATCTTTCTCTATCAAGTCACGCATGGTAATGTGGCTACCTTGCAACAACATGGCAAAATGCTCGGCTATTTCGCGCTTTGTTTCAGAGGCTGGCAACGTGACAGTGCCATCTGCTTTCTTCACGCATGCTGCCGACTGCTGGGCGGGCTTATAGAGAGGCTTCAGCACATCGAACATGCGCCGCATCGACACATCGGCCGCTGCACTTTCCAACTCAAGCCGCTTCCGCTCCTCAAAATCGGCAGCATCTTTGTCAAGAGCTTCTCTGAGTTCATTCGACAATTCGTCAATGACCGCGCCACAAAAACTCCTGTTGAGACAGGCGTCCCAAAACAAGCTGCTACAATCCACCAGTGGCGCCGGCTCCCCTCCTGCTGCAGCCGCCCAGGCCCGGAAGACAACATGGCACACTGTTTTATCAAGCAAATGCGCAATGTCCTTACCGAGTGACCGAAACCGTTTCCTAAGCACACCTCTCCGTAAGACAAGGTCAAGCGTGCCCTGGCTTAGTGCGGCATTGCGCTTCACATGCTTGGGCTTCGGGAAAGCTTGCACCGCCGCGTCTTGCACTTGGGATTGCCTGATAAAGCAATGGGAAGTGGGATCAACATTGAAAGGGACTGGCGGCAACTCCGCGAGCAGCTGCCTAAAACGATGCACCTTCATTGGGTCTTCCGGGCCACGCCTGTCGTACGGCGCCAGCCAGCGCCGCAGCATCGAGCGTGAAAAATTAGGCTGCATCTTGACGCGGGTGGAAATCATGAGGTGATCATCGCGCTCATTTGCCGTGTCATATACATCATCCACGGTATATGAACCCTCAACGCATTCAACATTACAAGACAAAACAATGTAATCATTCATGGTCGCACATCCATGTCCTATATATGCGTGATGGGCCGTCCCTCCTGCCCACATGTCCTGCCACACAGCGGGGCACCAGAGTCCACAGTCAGACATCCACTGCTCGAAAACAAACGAATTGACCGCATTACTCGGCAAAGCCTCGCGGCTCCCACCCACGAGGGGCGTTAAGGACCAGGCCGATGGCACAGTGATGTTCGCATCCATCATCACTAACGCTGGGAGCGTCCGCAACGCTGGTGGCAGTAGCGTCCCAGCCTCCTTCCACCAAGGTATGCACTCCTGGTGTTTCTGATGCGGCGCATGCACCGAAGCAACAACAAATCTACACACGGCCGTTGATACGATTACAACCAACACCCTTGGACAAGCATGATGAATGACAACGTCATCGATGCGAATGAACACCTTGTGATTTCCTTGCACGAAAAAAGGACGAGACGCTGACAAAATAATGGAACACCCAAGTGACCCATAGAGATTGGACAACCCAGCGCTCTGAATCACAATGGATTTCTTTCCGCTGATGCTGTCCTCCACCATCTTCCTCCCCGTGACTTTGCTGCGAGACTCTTGGAAACCCGCAACATGAAACTTCCGAGACTCAAGCTGTGCCAAGGCAACTTCAAATTTCGCATGCGCCCTAAGAGTTAAGGCATTGTGACCAAAGAGTCGCAACTCACATGCTGTGATCGGTGTGCTGTCCATTGGCCGGCTGCGATCCGAATCGATCCGCTCGGCAATGACAGGCGCGGGCAAATATCTATCAATCTCGATACTGCCCAAGCGCATGGATCCAACCTCGTGCAAATCAGTGGGGTACTCCTCCTTCCGTTGGGCACACGACCCCCCGAGAAAGAGCCAGTCCACATCATTTCCGCTTGGGTTGGCTGGAAAAGAAAATTCCGCGAAAACAGTGTCGCTCCTGATGCTTGGGTGCGCGGATCCATGACCTGCTGCATCGCACAACTTATCGGCAAGCTCATTCCAAGGATGACCGCAATGAGAGTGCACATGCGCATGGGACACATCAACAAAATTGCTCATACGCAAGACCAAATTACGCACAACACGACAAACACTATGCTGAGACGAAGCTCTGGCAAACCGAAAAGCGACATCAGCGACTGACATGTTGTCTGAAAAGACCCTGACTGCGCACTGTCCATAAAGGTCCTTGGACCTCAGCGCCCAAAGGAGTGCCCATATCATGGCGGACGCTTCCGCCGCGAATGACATCGAGGCCTCATCCTGCACTGCCCCGACAAAATGCGGATGACCACAATCAATAACCACAAGCCCGCATACGGATCATATACATTATGCTTCCATCAAGTCCCTCGCTTAGTACACAAAACCCCCACGCTGGAACAGGGGACGTGTCTGTTGAGGCGCGGGCTTGGTTTGGGGATCCCCCTCCCGATCCATCCAAATAAATGTGAATGGATCGCAGCGGTGTTCCCGGCACAAAACGCACTGTAGTCGCAAGTTCTGCGGTTGTGGGTTCCATCAGCGTGACACCACACAAAGATTGCGACAAAACATGACCGAAAGGATGAAGCAAAGACATCACCACGCTACGATCGAAGACACTGTAGGTCTGTTGTTTGAAAGCCCCGGCGGGGAAACAATTGACGCCGACCTCGAGACACGAATCCCAGTCACGAGTAGAGGAAGTAAGATGAGTCAAACGACATGCTCCGATGCAAGACTGCTCCGCCCACCCCTGAGCTGGAGGATGAATTGCACTATGATTTGAAATGAATTCTCGTGGCCTCAACCCCGGCCCAAAACTAGGAGAATGCTGCAATAGCGTATCTAGACATAGCACGGCACGGCCACTCACGTCCCAGGCGTGGCCACGGAGGGGACGAGAAACCCCTGAGGGCACGGCGTCTCCACGATGGTCTTCCCGTGCAGCCTCCGCGAAGGCCCCGAGTTTCCAGCAGCAGGCTGCGGGGTCTCGGAATCGTCCTGCATCACGTCCGACGCCGGGGGCGCTGGTTCCGGGGCATCGGGCGGCATGGGGGCTGGCGGAGGGAGCGTCATCCCCTCCAATGCCGATGCCAAGGCGTCCCTCGGCATCTCCGTGCCTCCCCTGATCTGCCGCGCAAGGTCGAGAATCGTGTCCTTCAGCCAACCCGGCCGGGGGCCCTCCCTCGGTCGTCGGCTGGTCGACCACGTAGGTGTTCTTCGTGAGCTCCATGAGGTCCGCCCGGTAGGCCGTCAAGGCGGCCTGCTCCGCATTGATCCTCTCCTGAGCCGCTTGCATGTCCTCGTGGGCCTGCTGGAGGCGCTTCTCCGCCCGGGTGATCACCTGCCGGAGACCGTCGAGCTGCTGGCCCGGCGGCCAGGACGCGTACAAGGACGCCTTCTTCTCCGCGATCTGCGCGTCGATGACCGCCAGGGCCGGGCTGTTGATCATCGCGAGCGGTCCCCGGGACTTCATGAGGGCGCTGAGCTGGTCCCGGATCTGCTTCTGGGACGGCTCGGAGTCCACATCGACGTAGACCATCGCCGGCGCCTGCGCAGCCGGGGGTGGAGAGGCTGGTGAGGTAGGAGTGGAAACCGTAGACGGAGCAAGGCCGACCACTGTTCCGGGTGCAGACGGCGGCAGTGGAGGCCACGTAGCCACTGCTTGCACGTACGACTTCGGGGCCTGGCACCATCGGCACTGCGAGCAGGTTGACCAGGACCGCGTGCCACACAGCGTACAGCACCACGAAGAGCCGCCACCTGCGCGAGCGCCACCGCCCCACCGGGCGTTGTTGCGCTGAGAGGACCATCGCGCTGGCATGCCTCAAAGTTTGTAGACTCCCCACAAGTTCAAGGAGCGGCCGCAGGGCGCGAGAGAGCGATGCTTGACACCTTGACACCTTGACCACCACTCCTCCTCCTCCTCCTCCTCCTCCTCCTCCTCCTCCTCCTCCTCCTCCTCCTCCTCCTCCCGCCCCCTCCTCCTCCTCCTCCTCCTCCTCCTCCTCCCCCTCCTCCTCCTCCTAGCCATTTCCAGGTTTCAGACCTTTGTGGCAGCGCGATTGGAAGTGGCACAGCTGTCACGAGCCAGTTGCATGGCACCCAGCAATCGCCGCGATGCGCCTCCGCCGCTCCGCCAGTGGAAGCGCAACGGCCGTTGTGGAGGGCACAAGAATCGTGGCTGGCGCACGCAGCGCCAGCAGTGCGGAAAGAAGGCGCCGCCCTGGATCCTTGAAGCAATCGCAGCTCACGGGACTCATGAGCCGTCCACGGCAGTGCCGCCGAAGGCAGGAGGCAGCTGGGGCAAGGGGCCCCCTACGTCCACCCGTACGGCGACACAGCTCAAGGAGGAGGCGATGTTGCAGGCGAGGCGGGAGCTCCAGCAGGCGCTGGTCGCTAACCCTGCAAAGCACGGCATGCCTGAATGGCAAGCACAGGCGGCGTCAGCGACGCTTGTGCTTGTCGAAGTGGATGAAGACATGGGGGTGGTTGCGAAGGCGGACTTGTCCTCTAAGTCCCTGCAAGACTTACACCTCCGTAAGACCAAGAAGGAGAAGCAGCTCGAGAAAGCTTCCGAGCGGCCAAGCAGGCGGAGCTCGATCAGGAGCTGGAGTACCAGAAGCAGCATCGCGAGGCGCTGGCGGAGATCAGCGCGGTCATCAAGAAGAAGGAGCTCGCCAACGCCGTTCCCGTCCTCGGGAAGGTCGCGGATGGCAAGAACGACGTCGGCACGGCCAGTGAACTTCTTAGCCTCATGCAGGAGGTGTCGGGCAAGCTCAAGGCCTCGGGGCACCTGGTGGGGCTGGCTGCCCCGTTCACGGTGTTTGGCTCGGCCTTCGAAGAGGAGGCCACCGCCATCAAGACCAAGCTCGCGGAGCAGGCTAAGCAGCAGGAGCAGCAGGCGTCCGCTGAGGCAGCGGGCCAGGCAGCTGGTGGCGGTGCTCCTGATGGTGGCGCTGGTGGCGCTGCAGGCGACGCGGATGGCGACGTGCAGTTCGACTGGGACGACCCCAGCTTGCCAGAGCGCCTCAAAGCCGCCAGTTTCCCCGAGTGCGACCCTGCCTAGCCCGAGGATCGCGAGAAACTCAAGCGGTTCCAGGAGTGCTTCATGCCCGCTAAGCAGGCTCGGACTACCACCAAGCCAGGGTTTTAGCGGAGCTGGCGCTGCAGGGGATCCCCCTGGAGGTACGCACTGCTCAGCCGCCTGTGAGAGCATAGGGGGTGCAATAGGGTACCAGCCTTCGGGTATGCACTGCTCGGCACCACCCAGCTCTCCCTCGGAGACCAGAGGGTACCGACCTCCAGGGGCTGGCTGTCTATCTAAGATAGGATATCTCAAGCAGGTGGGTATCTCGTCCCCCCTAGCGCTCGAAGCGGACTTCGAGAAGAGGCAGTTGGGCAGTCAGAGAGCGCTGCCCTTCCCAGTCCTACGGGCGGGGATGCCATGCTATGCATTATTAAGATAGTAACGCACCTGAAGAACACCGCTAGCCACAAAATCACCCTTTTGGCCCCTTGATCCCAGCGCTCTCAGCTTCGCCGCGGTGTCGGGCAGCGGGGGTCCAGGGTCTGCCCGGAGAAACGGGGCTCAGGGGGGCTGGTTGGTTCTCGCCGCTGACTCCTCGATACGACGGAACAGACGAGCTCGTGTTTCGTCTTTGAGTTGGCGTTCGACTCGCTTGAAACGAGTGGTCGCATCCACGGGAGCGGCAGAGACGTTGTCCCTCTCCGCCGCTCTCGCAGAGGCGCAGTGGCTGTCCATCCTCTGGCGCGATCTCCTACGCGGGGACGTGTGTCCTCCAGACTGGCACCTGTCTCCATTTCCTTTCTCTGTAGTGCTCAGCAGAGACTGCGCCCTCGCGGAGGGTGTCGAGACGATCTCAGTGGTGGATGCCACATCGATTTTTGACACGCTGAGCAAGAATTCAGCGGGGTCGCGTGCTGATAGAAGAAATTCGATTGAGCTTGCTGTAGTTCGAGATAGTATGAGCGCCGTCGGCTCACGAGTGAGGTGGGTTCCACACGGGAGAATGGCCGCCGACGCGTTGACCAAGGTGGATCCAGCCCGTGGCAATTTGGCTCAGACCGACCTGCTTTCCCGGGGAACCATGACTCTGATTGATGAAGACGGCCACTTCTCAGAAAGATCTTTAAACAAGTCGCTCAAGTCCCGAACCAGGAAGGCTTCCAAGGATGCTCTTCGTAAAGCTAGCCTCGATGAGTACTCTGAAGAGGGAGATGAGTCTCGGAGGCGGGGGGGCACTTAATTGGTTATGTCAGACCCACTGAAAGTAGTCCCGCTGTCCTATTTGTCCTCTTCTCTCCTCTTCTCTCCCCCCCTCTATGTGTCTGTCATCGCGTTTTAGGCTTTAGGCCCGCCATGGGCGGGCACAGGTGATTCATGTTCGTTGGGGCGCTCCGTTGTAAAGAAACATGTCCACCCCCCTGTGGCCACCGATTTCAGACACCGCCACTGCGGCCCTCGGTGGAGCTCACTGGGGCCTCAGGTGGACCTCTTTATGGGGCCACGAATCGCTGCACTGGGTGGGGGAGACGCATGTGGACACCGCCACTGTGGCCTTCGGTGGAACTCCTTATGGGGCGACGGAGCGCCGTGCTGAGTGGGCGAGACGCATGTGCACACCGCCACCGGGGCCTCCTGCGGAGCTCCTCATGAGGCCACGAAGCGGCGTGCTGAGTGGGGGAGACGCATGTGGTCACCGCCACTGGGGCCTCCTGTGGAGTTCCTCATGAGGCCACGAAGCGGCGTGCTGAGTGGGGGAGACGCATGTGGTCACCGCCACTGGGGCCTTAGGTGGACCTCCCTATGGGGCCATGAAACGCCGTGCCGAGTGGGGGAGATGCATGTGGACACCGCCACTGGGGCCTTCGGTGGGGCTCCATATGGAGGCACGAAGCGCTGCATTGGGTGAGGGAGACGCACGTGTACACCGCCACTGGGGCCTCCGGTGGAGCTCCCTACGGGAGAGACGCATGTGGACACCGCCACTGGGGATTTCTGTGGAGCTCCCTTTTGGAGCCACGAATCGCTGTGCTGGGTGGGGGAAACGCATGTGGACACCGCCACTGGAGCATTAGGTGGACTCCCCTATGTGGGCATGAAAGATGATACTGATGATGATAGTAGTAGTGATGATGACAATGACGATGCTGATGATGCGGGTGATGCTGATGATGATGCGGATGCTGCTGATGATGATGCTGATGATGATGGCGATGGTGATGATGGTGATGATGAGGGTGCTGATGATGATGCGGCTGATGATGATGCGGCTGATGATGATGGTGATGATGATGATGAAGAAGATGATGATGATGATGATGATGATGATGATGATGATGATGATGATGATGATGATGGTGCTGGTGGTGGTGATGATGATGATGATGATGATGATGATGGTGACGACGACGACGATGACATGCGGAGGGCAGACGCAGGGATGGGAGGAGGGAGGTGAGCGAGGAGGAGGAGCGGGAGGAGGAAGGCAGGAAAGAAGGAAGGAAGGAGTGAGTAATGCGGGGCGCTGTGTCTCCAAAACGAAGACCCAACAGCAGGTTGGTTGGGAATAGTCATCTCCGCCGTTGCAACCACAGATGCATTGCATTCCCTCCGTTCGTATCCCCTGGGGTTGAAGCCTGACGAGTAAGGGCACTCCAGAAGTGAATGCCCTGTCTTGACGAATTTTCGACCCTAGCCCCAAAGTGCCAGTGATTCTCCCGCCTCGCAGCGTGGTCACGGAGGGTCGCGCCTTGATGGAGGCCTGACCTCATCTATGGTTTTTGTTGACGGCGTTTTGCTATCACTGTAATTTCACGGATTCTCATGGACTTAGCCAGGACTGCGGCTGACGAGGACGTTCATGATCCGTGTTGCCCGTGCGAAAACGCGGAACCGTGTGAACGAAGAATGAGCATATCCACGGTTTAAAACATAGTTGCGTTGCATATCCTGGAGCCCTACAACAGTGGGCATGACGAAGTGATGACCCCATCTATTCTCTAAGTGATAACACATGGATAATAATGTATACATAAAAGTTGTTACAACATCGCCAACACAAGCTTTAGGGGCTTGGCCAGGACCGCGGCTGATGAGAAGGTTGGTGGCCCGCTAGTCGCAGAAGAAACGCAGTTATGCCGGTGTTCGCGGAGACTCGCGTAGATGCGTCCGCTGCTCATCCCCCGCCGCGCAGCGTGGTGACAGAGGATCGCGCCTTGACGGAGCTCTGACCTCATCTGTGTTTATTTGACTGCACATTGGGGTGCGGTAGTATCTTCTCGCGGGCCCTTGACGGAGCTCTGACCTCATCCTGTTCCCATAATTGCTTGCATGTGTTAGAGTTGTGTATGTATATATATATATAGATGCATCTGAGTACACATTATCTTCGATTAGTCTGTTGCAATTGCCACCGTGCGTACTCAAGCGAAGTCGAGACACCCCGCACAGTCAAGGCACCCCGCAGTAAGGAATCCTCTGTAGGGAATTCCCAGTAGGCATTTTTTTGTAGGCAT